TAGTGCGTAATATATGACTCATCACTCTCCAATGTTCCATTAACAAGCAAGAGGAAGAGATTTTGATGTGTTTTTGATGTTTAGTGGAGGAAAGAGTCGGAATCTATGGGGAGCCGCCGTTGAGAGTGAAAGGGGAGAAAAGAAAATGAAGATTAGGGTTTGTGAAACCCTTTTCTTTTCTTTTATAGCTGGGCACTCTCGCCCGGGCGAGAATATCTTGCTTGGGCGAGAAACCCACGATATTTTAATTTTCCAGACACGGGCTCTCTCGCCTGGGCGAGATTCTCTCTCTCAAGCGAGAATCTCACAGCCTGCCCAGACTTTCTCTCGCTCAAGCGACCCATTCCTCGCTTGGGCGAGACTCCTAGAATTTCCAAATTCAAAACACTGTTCCTCTCGCTTGGACGAGATCCTCTCGCTCAAGCGAGAATCTGGCAGTATGCCTCATTCTTCAGGACTGTTACCTAATTTCAAGGAGGATGAATTTGGGGTGTTACACTTCACCGCCCAAAGAACCATCATTATTAGTCTACTAGTAGAACCATAACTTACTATACCAGTAAACTAGGGCAACTATTCCATCCTAGTATCTGAACCGGTCAAGCACCTACCAACTCTTAAGGCCATAACCCATTACCAGTCTAATAAGATCCGGCCTACATGGCATTCAATCACGCCCTGGTAGCCAACTAATTAAGAGAAAAGATGTCAATGACAAGATATGACCAAATTATCACCTTAAAACCACAAATATCTATTGTGGGACTGGCGCGCCACCTGAACAACACATAGACTCTAAAACATTTAACATGACATTTGAGCACCATATGCTACCCTCTTCCATGTGTGAGGACAAACCTAATATACCACTATAGCATTCTGGACAGGCGAAAAAACGACCTACCCATGATTAGGCATTGTGTCAGTCAAAGCACAAATGTAGTAGGGCCACCCAACACTGGTAAAGCAAGTCACGCTAGTCTCGACAGTTTTGGAAGGGCGACTTGTCATGATTAAAGTATCTCATTATGGAACATGTCACACTGAACCACTATAAATAAAAGAGTTCGCTCATAAGAAGGTTTACACTCACACTCTCACTTATAATCTTTAAAACTGATACTCTATATATATCTTCACTTATATTGACTTGAGCATTAGAGTGCCTTTTTAGGTACCCATTGTGATGGTCCAAGACCGGCTCTTGCATAGAGCAACACTCCATTTGATGTGAAAATGTAAGATAAATTTTTTTTTATTATGCTAAAAATGATTTTTCTTAAAGTTATCATGCATTATTTTATTACCAGGGGGAACAAGTCTTACCTATTGGGAAAAAAATAAATAAGTTAGAAGTAAAAAATTTAAATTAATATATATCATATCAAATGACATATTCCAAACTTCTTACACATGAAACTTCCTCTAGCAGATATCTTAAAAAACCTCTATTTCATATACCATAAAAAGTTTCCATCCTTTATAATGAAGACTTTTGAGCCATAAAATACAATTGTAATATGACTCTAAAATCTATTTTTTCTTTCTAAAACTCAACTCGTAAACAACCTAATCTTCCCTTTCATTTTATTCGAAAATCAAAAAATTCATTTTCTTTGTCATATCATTTACCAACTAATTATGACACCCCACCCCCACCAAACCGAGTAACATAACAAACAAATCATTTAAATTTTTGGTTTTCCTCTCTCTTTGCCAGATCATCAACCTATGATGTAGAGAATTTCACTTTTGATTAAAACCAACTCCACCCCACATCCCATTGTAGGCCATTTTGGCCTCTCTATTATCTTCTTTTTTGCATTGCAGATCCTGTTTCTAACAATGGCACCCAATTGATCTGCTGGTGTTTTTCCGGTTCATTCAAAAACAGATAATGGTTAAGAAGGAGGTGGTGGAATTTCAACAAAATTATCAACCTGTAACTGTGGCTTTTCATGGGGACAAGGAGATGCATCAGGATAACATATATTTTGAAGACATGTCTAAGAAATCTCCATTAACCATGGTTTTCTCTCTTCTCTCTATATATGTTCCCTCAAGTTTCACAACGCGTCTAATTTTGCATTTTTTTATTCTTTTCCCCTTATATATATGGTCATAGTTAGTTGTGGCGTCAATATTACAGTTTTGGAGTGTTTGCATCAGGACAATATTTTCTCATGATTGCGAGGACCACAATTTAAAAAGTTGCAGTAGTAGTAGACGGTTTCTCACAATTTTGGTTGTACAATAAATGAGCGAATCATGTAACTATGTATAGGTTTTGAGTTGTAGTCTCAGGGCTGCAATATTGTAATTTTGGTAGTTCTGGCCTCATTTTGCGACCACAATTGTGGTAAACATTATGTAACCACAATTGGTCTAGCGACCACAAGTTAAAACCATATATGTTTCTGGTATGGTGAATATCTATGGAATTCATGACCAATATAATTTTCATGGTATTGTACAAATTAATGACCAAGATAATGCAACTAATCAGAATAAAATTAGCATGAGATTCCTTTGTTTCTGGCTTTTCTTTCTGAGCTAATAATGATTGGTTGTAGCTATGTTGCATTGTTTGCAGGATAAACAAAACAAGGCAGTGGAAAATAAATACAAACTCTTGAACTCTCCCATAAAGCAAGTAATGTTTTCAAATTTTATTTTACTTGTTGGTTTTGATGTAATGTATATGTAATTCTATGAATTGGTGTAACATTCCCGTCCACGACAGTTTTTGGCAATATGATAGCATAACAGGGAGTGTCATAAACTGAATATCACATTTTTCTAAACTGAATATCACGTCTTTCTAAACTGAATATCACGTTAAAATAAATTCACTTTTTCATTCATCAAAGCTTAGTTAAGATACCCTTGAATGTTGATGTGAGAATGAGTTAGAATACCTTCACAATTTAAATGAGTGAGTTTGTCTGTAATCCAAACTCACTATGCAGCATAGTCCAAATGGAAACTAATTTGAATGAGTGAGTTTGTGTTAGAAGCACTTATAGATGAGACCACAAACCTCAAGATTTTGATCCAAAGAAAGATACAAGAGAAGATCTTTTTCTGTCTTCAGGTTATTGTAATGGGAACAACATAAAAAGGTAATAGAAAATAATACTCTAAATATGCAGTGTATGTTTTGGCAGTACTTTACAAGTGCATTGCTTGATTCTAATCCAATGGTCGGCAGTCTTTTCTCTTGTTACTCTTGTGCCTTCACACATATTGCTACACACACTTCCGAGTTTTTTACATGAATCCTATTTTCTAGTTTGGCTTCATTGTTTATCCAACTTGTAGTACTTTGCAATCATGACAATGTTAAATAAATGGCGCAATTCCCTATAGTTTATAAATCAACATCTAAGTGGATGATAATTCTAACAATTGCTTCTACAGGCCACGTCTGGCGAAGCACAAAAGTTTGCAAGGTTAGTAGAGCGCCTTGAGTGTTATTTAATTTTTAATCCTGTCTCCATTTTCAATGAGTTAATTTGATAAAATCAGAACATGGATTTTGCTTGCAGCTCCAATATGGTTGCAACAGATGGAACATCCTCTCGTGGTGAGGCCAAGTCATCTGCTGTAATTAAAGCAGAGGAGGTCCGATCAAGTTTGGAACAAGAATTCCCTAGTTTTGTGAAGTCGTTAGTCAGGTCGCATGTTGCTAGTTGTTTTTGGATGGTAAATGTTTTCATATACTGAAGTAAAATGACTTATTTCAAGAAACTAATTTGTATTCTGTTTTAAAGCCATGTCGTCTAATTTCTTTTTTAGGGGTTGCCTGTAGCATTCTGTAAAAGCCACTTACCGGATAAGGACACAACGATCACTTTGGAAGATGAATCTGGTAAAGAATGCAAGACAAAATACATTGCATATAAGACAGGACTGAGTGCTGGTTGGAGACAGTTTTCTGCTGTGCACAAATTGCAGGAGGGTGATGTGGTTGTCTTCCAGTTAGTTGAACCTACAAGATTTAAGGTAATTTGATATTTTCTGCTTAAATGTTGTTTGGTAAATTCTAATGGTGATTCTGTACTTCCAGTGGCAATATAAGGATTATGTTGCAAAGAAAAAGGATATCCAAACCATGCATATCAATAACACATTGCTTTCTGTGTTAGTTACATACATATCAGTAAAATAGATACCAAATTGCCAATCTTAGTAACAAATCTATAATTCCTTCTCGTTGATCATATTATTTTGGGAACTCTATGGTGTCTGTCTTCGTTGATCGTAACAATGAAATGCTAGAGATCAATGTCATGGACATGATATTTCTTATGGATCTAAACATTTTATACCGAATGATGAAAGACAGCGTCAATGAACTGGGCCATTAGTATATCCTTCAACACCAAAACGTAAACTATCCGTCAAGGGTCACTGACTGAAATGGAGGGTTTTATCTCTCGTTTTCCTTCCCTTTTCGGTTATCGTTTAGACTTCTGAGGTTGGTCCAAGAGTTTTTTTTGCCCCATTCTGTAGTAAAAGTCACTCAGGACTTGAGGCAGATGGACTGGTGACTTGGTAATGCTATCACTCGTGGACTTTCACCATCTTATGACTATGTCAAGTTCTTTTATCTGTGAACGGACATCAAATTCTTTTTTTTCGAAGTGTTTTGTCCGCTTCTGTCTGTCTTATGCATGCAATTTTATGGAGCTAACACTTGCATCTGAAGAAAAGTTCATATGGTGGTGACGATCTCACCTCATTGCTATTAGCTATTGTACAAAATTGGAAACTCCTAAGTCGCCTATCATGGCCTATATCTTAAGGCTATTATCCTCTGGACCTCTGCTAAAGAATGTTCTGAGTGCATGACTTTGCGGATGACTGTTATTTTTCTTGAAGAATAAGGAGGGGACCGTCATGAATCTTTCTCTCTCTGAATTCATATCACTTGGTTATGCTTTTTTTCAGGTTTATATAATAAGAGCTAATAATTCAAGGGAACTAGACGGGGCCCTTTCACATCTGAATCTTGACGGTTGCACAAAACAAAAAGTTGGAGGCAAGACTTGTTTCTCTATGCTTTTAGTTTCAAATATTGCATCATGCATGAATCATTGAAGATTCGTGCAATCTTCATACAGTATACAAAACATTCTTTGTTTTGCTCCTTGATGTTCAGACAAAGATAACGATATTGATGCTGTTGCATACAATAGCTCAAATAGAAAACATGGTATACTAAACATTCTATATTTTGCTCCTTGATGTTCAGCAGACAAAGATAATGAAACTGATGCTGTTGCATATAATAGCCCAAAGAGAAAACATGGTAAGTTTGTCACACTAGATATCCAAAAGAAAAAGAGGACCAGTGTTCCAAGATTGGCACTTAAGGTTAGGCAATCTGCAGTACGATCCGAAAATGTTAGTGAGGAAGCTCTCTCAGAAGTACTGGAAGGCTTTAAAATGCTTGAATTCAAAGATGTGAAAGGGTTTGAAGACTTCAGCATCACAATTGATGGAATGTCAATAGATGCTGAACTCCCCAATGAAATACGAAACAAGTACTACAGGCTCTGCTGCAGTCAGAATGCCTTTCTTCATGAAAATCTCACCAGGGGTGTGAACCATAAATTGATTGCTGGAATTATATCTGAAACTGTCAACATTGCTGATGCCATAAAAGTTAGTGTGATAGCTACCCCGCGTGTAGAATTTGCTAATTGGGACAAGACTTTGCTTGCCTTTGAGCATTTGGGCATGAATGTTGAATTTTTAAGAGTTCGGTTACGCCGGATAGTAAGCATTGCCTATGAAACAGATGGTGCCTCAGAGACCAGAAGATACTTGAAGTATAGAACTGAACACAGTCAAGCAGATGATGAGATAAAGAACATAGAAACCAAACTTGAAGAATTGAAGGAAGCTTGTAATGGTTTTGGTGCTTATCTTGAGAGTTTGAAAAGCAAAGCTGAAAGCTATCAGGCCATGCTTCAGAAAGAGGTGGCTGCTCCTTGGTGAAACTTCCTTAGTTTCTTTTTTATGAGTGAGAATAAATGAATTTATATATATAGGCTCCTATTAGTGTGGTAAATATAATCTCTTCATCTTAAAACAAGATTGAACTATGCTTCAACTGAAATACTTTTAGTATATGTGTTGTGTTATGAGTGGCAAATTACCTTCTAGTAAACTCAAAAATATATGCAAGTCATGATCTCTCTCAACTATTTACCGAATGCTTGTAATTGGTAAAATTGCATTTATATGTTTCTTCCTCTGATATTTTTTTAAAATTTAAAATCAACTGTTGTTTCCCTTTTTCCTAGTCATAGGTGCCTTTGGAGACAATCCTAATTGAATTAAGAACATTTATAGAATACTAGTATTGAGAAACTCTGAATATTTGCTTATGTCACGGAGTAATACTTTGTTTATTAATGTTTGGTTTAAAAATAGCATGTGTCACTTTCTTATTGGATATGATAATTTATAAGAGGATTTAAGAAGAAGATATATGATTACTCATTTAAAAATTTCAGCTTATGCATATCTTCTTTCCCTTACCAGGAATTTAATATAAAAAAAGAAAGTATTTCCTCAATCAAATAAAACCCATTAATAATGTAGATTCCATTAGTTTCATTTTTTTTAGTTAAGATTGAAATAAAAGGCCTCATGTAACCTTAAAAGCTAGAAGACCTTGTTTTTTTTCTTTCATTCAACTGCAAATAATAATTTGTACAATAAACAGTCAAATCCTAATTCCTACAGGATCAAAGGAAACCAGAGGAGAAGAAAATAAGAATCAAAGATGACATTAAAAAATCTAATAACACAAATCTCCTGCCTTGATTTTATCAAGAGGTCCAAACCCGCTGAAGGATAAAAAAAGTGGCCGGAAAATGTGAAAATAAAATGACTTTCATCTTCTCACCCAATCATTCAACAGCTCCTGTATTACAAAAGAACTAAATAATAAATCAACCAAGCAACAAAACAAAGAAATAAAAAAAGACAAGCATCAAGTAATTTGAAAATAAAACATTTGCAAAATCGGAGTATTCTACTTATCTACTATTGTGACCCGATTTTTGGTTAGAATATCGGCTATGCGACTCGGAAGAGGCCAACTTAATTTCGACTTCTCCCAAATAAGAAAATCAAGTGGCATCACCCTTCATGGAAGGGTATGCACTTCTTATAAATAAGGGGTTATGGTCCCCAATTGTAGGTCATACGATGAACTACAACACAACAACAAAATCACTATTCTCTTCATCCCATTAGAGGAGAAACTAAAGCTAAGGGTGATCTACAATTGGAAGACCAACAAACCTACATGTTCTACTATGAACATGATTTGCATACAAGGTTAAAGGAGGACATTAAGATACAAGGAGATGAAGTTGATGCATACAAAACTAAAGACAACTAAAGTTCATCCATTATATTCTCAATGAATAATTAAGATACATTTCCGCTTAAGTTCTACTTCTATATATATCATCTTGATGATTTGACATGAAAGGTCTTGGCTATATATGATAATAGTATTGTTCATTATATTTAGCTTTATCTATCTTTAAGTATATTGAAGTCTCCCACCATATTAAGTCTACATTAAGATTTTTTCAACATTAGCACCAATGCAGACTTAAAATAGTTAGCTTTGTCACCTTTAAAGAAGGATTCAAAGCAACTCAATCACCTCAATTTTGTACTTACATTACATTAATGTTGGAAAATAATGAAGGTATAAAGAAAATTACATAGCAGTTATTAATCCATCTAACATTGTGCTATTGTGGCTAAAGTATCTTAGGAATGCATTGAAAAGCTTTCGCTGGAATGTATTACTAGACATCAATCTGATTTGTTTACTTGAATTCAATTGAAACTAGATATGTAAATAGAAGGCAATCAAAATGGAGAAATGGATGTAATGTTTATATTCTTAGAACAATTAACTAAAATGTTGAGAATCCTCAATAAAAATGCACTAAGAATCACTCACCATGAGTATGTGAAGATGTATCCTTGCAAGTTTATTTGAAAATTTCTAATTTCCTCACATATATTTCCATATTCACCTTCTACTCTGATTCTTACCCAGTATTTCTCTAGTTGAACTTACAACAATATGGAAATAAACATATGGTATATTAATATTAAAACACTTAAAATGAATAATTATAGCCACCGATAATATCTCCTAAACCACAACACGAACACAAATCCAGTTTGTCTCACAAGGGGACCCAAATTCTACCTATTCAAATTTTTTCTTTATTTAATTCCCTTTGCAAGCATTTCCCTACACTTACTATCATATTTTCAACAGACTTATTCTATGTCCCCATATTCACGTACATTCGATTTAACAGAAAAACATAATTCGTATTAATAATTTCTCATGGGTATTAATACCCCAAAAGTATAGTTCTCCAAGATAACAATACACCCAGCTACAAGTATCCGAATAAACAATGACCATTGTTACAATCAATCGAATACGCAAATAGTCAATTAGGGTACAAAAATGCAATTAGATGAATCCAGATCTAAAGTTCCTAAGGCTCCAAACCGAGTCTCCTCAATCCACTAGTTTACCTGCAATGGGATTATCAATGACAAATGCACAAAACATACAAATGAGTAAGTCATTAGTTCAATAAACATCATTATAAGATAATCCACATTTTAAAGAGGTTAGTAAACCATTTTGAAATTCATTTTCTTTGCTACATAACTTGAGCCAAAGTCGCTATACCCCTTAAAGTTAGCTAAAAGCAGATTCTCATTTCTTTTTAAAAGGAAACGTGCTGCATATACTCGAGCCGGAGTTTTGCTTATATACTCAAGCTAGAGTTTCGCTTATATACTCAAGCCAGATTTTCGCTTATATACTCAAGCCAGAGTTTCGCTTATATACTCAAGCCAGAGTTTCGCTTATATACTCAAGCCAGAGTTTCGCTTATATACTCAAGCCAGAGTCGCTAACCATTCATGGTCGGCTAAAAATATATTTTCCTTTCCTTGATTTCACCATTTCTCATTTCCCGTAAATTTACGCCCACTTTAGTATAAACACATCACATATATGTTTATACTAAATGCGTAATTCACAACTCAATCGTTGCATAACTAGAAAATATACACATTTTCCATTTCCCGTAAATCTACGCCTACTTTAGTATAAACACACTCATATATGTTTATACTAAATGCGTAATTTACAACTCAATCGTTGCATAACCAGAAAATATACACATTTTCCATTTCAATTGCACAAATAAAGACTTATCCTTACCTCGGTGAGTGTTGGGGGTCGGTTTTTGAGTACTTTACCAATTTCCTCCACGATCTCCTCCAACCTTAGGATCTTTCCTCATTCCCACCAATAACAACAATATCAGTCATTTATTCAAAATAACACATAAACGATTCAAATTTCATCGTCAAATATACATGAGTTTCATACATGTTCAATGTTTCCAACATTACTTCATTAGGAGTTTCCAACCATTCAAGACATACATATTCACCTTCTATTCAACATTATAACACATACTCATAACACAATCATTCTCATATCACATAATCATTGTTACAAACATACCCATATGTGTTTATCATAATAAACATTCACCTCATATAACAATTCAACAACCCACAACACATCATCATCATAACAAACCACATACAACATATTCTTCATCATATAACATTTAGCACATCTCCTCTTATGACCACATTTTCCTTTTTTTGGGGGTTTTGTGGTTTTCATAAATCGATCCACAAACTCTTTCCATTCTTTGAGTATTCACTCTAAACCAAGAGTTTACAAGAGAGAAACTAAATAAAATGAACAACAACTCAAATGGAAGAGTTTCCATGGTTTCTCATATTTTTTAGAAGAGATCCATACACCCAAAACAAGTTAGAGAGGAAGAAGAAGAGTTAGAAACAAGAGGTTTACCTCTTCTCAAGCCCTAAGATGATTCCTAAGGTCTTTGCTCTTAAAAAGCTCTCTTCTCTCTTTTCTCTTCAAAGTTCTAAACCTAAAATGTGTTTGGGGTTTCTATTTTAAAGTGAAATCGTCGGGTTCTCGCTCAAGCGAGCCCATTCTCGCTCAGGCGAGGGAATCTCGCCTTTTTAAAATTTCAGATCTGACGCTCTCGCTCAAGCGAGGTATTTCTCGCTTGGGCGAGGCAGCTCTCACTCAAGCGAGGATCCTCTCGCTCAAGCGAGGATCCTCTCGCTCAAGCGAGGATCCTCTCGCTCAAGCGAGGATCCTCTCGCTCAAGCGAGGATCCTCTCGCTCAAGCGAGGATCTTACAGCCTCGACAGGCTCTGAATGCCACTTTTCTCGCCCAGGCGAGACAATTCTCGCTCAGGCGAGACCACTCTCGCTCATGCGAGACCACTCTCGCTCATGCGAGACCACTCTCGCTCA